AATCATCAAAATTGGTTCGCCCAGAGAAAAGTTATGAGGTAACTCAAATAAAAAAGAAACATACAGTCGAATTGAACACCTTCTTCTTTTTGAAGTCGATAAAAAAAGTACAAACGCGTGTTTTGACTCCTGTGCACTATGATGAAATACCTCGTAGCCTAAAATTTTCTGACTTCCTTCCTCTTCAAAGCGAAACAAAAAAATAGATAAAGAAAATGGTATAAAGGTGGTGATGGCAAAATTTTTCGGAATTTTTTTTAAATTAAATATGTTCTATGTTGCTATACATATTTCAAATTTTTACCGCCCCATAATTAACTGGTAAAGAATTCCCAAGGGCATTAATCCGTGCTTTGTATTTGTTTTTATAGGATTAGGGAGAAAGACGAGCACGCAGTCCACCTGATGGTAAGTAGTTGTTGTGGTCTATATACATCTGGTCACAGCAACTACTTACAATCAGGTGGCCTCTACATCTATCCTCGACTACGAATCAAGACGCAGATGCACTGTAACCCGTGAGGACTAAGACGAAATGACTCTGTACCAGTAAAAGGCGTCTCCGGTTCTCTGTATTCACCATACGAAGTACCGTTAAGCTGCTATTTTAATCGAACTATTTTATTATTACAGCCCTCCTGTAATAAAGATGATAACGATTCACTGTTATATTTCTTATTAATTAATATTTTAAACACAAAAATTACAATAAAATTAATAACAATATTCACTACATAGTTATAATTTGGAAGCATCTGTTATCTTTCTATTACAGTCCTTAATTATTTATCTCAATGCCATTCAATGGTTTAAAATTTACTCTATTACAACGGGTTGAAGTCGCTTATCTCTGACTTGTTATTGGTTTAAAAAAGGGCAACGTGACTGCCAGCGCATCATCAAATATTATGTATACTTTCATTTCTATGTGTAGAAAGAAGGATTAAATTAGACTGAAAAAATACACTCAATTATTCTAACAACATTAATTTTTAATAAAAGGACATTGTTGCATGAACAAACATTACGTAAATCCAATATGATTGAGGACAAATTTTTCAAGATATCCGTTGAATAAATTATAACCCTACCGAATACACAAGTAAAACAATTGAACTATTTTATTCTTGCAACTGCTTTAACGATTTGATGATTGAGAAAAGAACATCGGAACTCGGGGACACAACAAGCCCAATGGTTAAAACAGTAATTTAAAAAAAAATCAACTACGTTAAAAAGTTTACTGAAAATACAAAAATTTCAAATCTTATGTCACTACCACAGCTAATAGAATCTAACGACAATAAATATGTTAATATTTATTAGCCATTTAGGCTATAGAGCGCGCCAGAGAAATATACATACATACATTTGAAAAACATAACCCTTCTAAATAAAGTTATTCATTGTTTAAAGATCTGAATACAAAAGTAAAACAATTGAACCATTTCTTACATAAAATTGTAATTTCTAATTTGTTTTTGTGCCTTCTATCCCACGAATAAACTTTATTAGAGCACTAAAAATTGGCCCTTAGAATAAAATGTAGTGATTTGGTCTTAGAAAGTACGTAAGCGACTACAGTAGAGCTAACTCTATCTTTGTTTTATCTTTAAATATAAAATTCTGGTGTGCGTATGTTGGTAATTATTTTCCATTCAAACGGCTTAATTAATTTTGTTGAAATATTTATGGAATGACTATATGGACACCTGGATGGCTCTTAGCTACAATTTGAGTCGGTAGATGGCGCTGCTGTCAAGAAAAATAATCACCCGTGCAAAGCCTGGGCAAACCGCTAGTTTCACAAGTATGATTATAGACCATGATTATACATATGATTATAGACAAGTACATAATCAAAGATTATTGTATATTAACGGGGGTTACTCGCGTACTATGGCAATTTAAAATGAACGCTTTGCCCCTGAAATACGGCTCTACTCTCTCCCTCTTTCTTACGCTATTTCTCCTACAAAATATAATATCTATCGCTGCTCTTTTAATTTTTCGTTCGCTTGCGTTGCTGCGGGCCATGGATTGAATGGTTTACAAAAATAATTAGAAAAAACAGCACGAATTTCTGGTTTCGTGGGCATGTCTTTATATACTTAAAAATATTTAAGCTGTAGAAAATGTAACAATTTAAGTTGGTTGAGATTAGGCAAAAATATTATTGGTTGAAATATTCCTGTTTAAATTTAAAAAAAGTGTGTTATTAAATTATTTAACACTTGCAGCCGTCGACGATTAAAAAAATTGGCATAATTCTATAAAGCCCTTCCGCAACATGTGAGTGGCTAATTCAAAGAAATAGTTTTTGAGAAGTTAAAATAAACAATGACGTAAAGAACAGGCAGTCTAGAAGTCCAAATATTTTGAGAATCGACGCGTGGTTCTGTAAAAATATAATAACAAAAAGCACTCCGAGCTAGTAACAAGCTAGAAGAACTATAGAAATTTTTACTAAAAACAACTCCTAACACGTGACGTTCCGACACGTGGTCGAAAGAAAATATTATACCTCACATAAGTGTTGTATATATTACCGTTCCCATTATATTCCAATCTTTAAAATAATTCTACGGGCTGAAAATACTATGTTGTATATATAAATACGGAATATTTTCTACCTAGCAGTCCGTTTTGGTAGTTAGTAGTGCTCTAACCTATTTGTACACATTTAAGCTGTGATGCATTCCATCGCAGTCCTCAGATCTGACAAAACAACCTGTAGCTTTCTTTGTTTCAAGTTGAAAGTAGATTAATATAAAACTAGTTTTTACGGATTTTATCGCTCATATTAACTTTTTATATTCCCAACGTTTCGAGCACTTTACAGCACCCCTGGTCACGGGGGTACTGAGGTGTTCGACGTCCCGATGTCATAGTTAACCACGGTTACCCACAGATTAAAATTCTGTCTGTGGACTACACAGTATGAGCTTATAGTATCTTGAAGACTTGTAGTTGTATGCTTGGGTTGGGATTTGATTTCAGTTGACCATGGGTGCATGTTTAATTTAAATGTGTAGTGTTCGCGTAAATGTAAGAAATTATTGGATGAGATGTCCATGAGCTATATACACATCACCAGAAGGGATGTTCGTTTGCAACTTTTTTATAATATAAGTGTGACAAACGAGCACACAGTACACCCGATAAGTGCTTGCCGTGGAGCAAAGACATCTAGATCATTCCTCGATTACGAATCAAAATGCCGATGCATTGTCACCCGTGAGGACTAAGGTGGAATGCCTCGTTTCCTGTAAAAGGGTCTCCGGTTCTCTACACTCACCATACGAAACAGCAGCGTTAAGCTGCTATTTTACGCTGGTATTCTGTGAGGGCGTGTTCCTTCCCCGGCCGGGCGGGCCATTCGTACTACAACTACACTACTAACATAGTTGTAGCATGGCTCTGACACGTAAAAAAAACTTTTGTTTTAGTTAAAGTAAATTTTACTATGTTGAAGGCAAGTGTACCCGCTAACACAAAAGCGCTCACGTATTAATCTAACCGAGTTTGACCCGATGTAATGCATTAGCGTTAATATCAAAACTATGCTAATACTATGCTATGTAGTTAGAGGTACATACACCAGTTTCAAAAACCATGCCTCAACAGACATTATAAGGTTACTATTGTTCATCTACCACTCTCTCTTATGTCCGATCCTTCATTCATGCAATGGTTCGGTCTCTGCTACAATAAATTATATTATTATATAATAAAAAACTTCGTATGAATTTTATGAGTCGTCTCGTCTTACGAGTGTTTAATATTATAATAGAATTTTGAATCGATTTAACTTAGGAATAAGTATTTTGGTAAGGTTTTTATTTCATGTACTTTCTTCAATAAAGAACGGGTAGTAATGTTGTACCTTATATACAACAATTTTTTTAAATAACAAAAGTACAGCTTGTATATACACGATTGTTATGACGCCATCTATTGGAGGGCACAAGAAGTTTTGAGCATTTTAACTAAATCACCTCTTTCGACATCCGCAAACAGACCCGGAAATCAACATCACGGAGTAGGGTTAGAACCAATAACCAAAGGCTTGAAATATTTAAATACACCCAAATAGGACATGACAATTACATTGTAACTCGTTATAACTGATTTTGTAAGCTAGCATATTATTTTTCAGGAGCGTATCATAACTTAACGTGGCGGGATCTAGGTCAATCATTAGACGATAAAATGGTATTCGAGTATTTGAAAAAACAACATGTATTGATCATAAGTTGAGATAATCCTAGTGAAAAGTCGAAAAGTCGTAGTCATGAAATTATGGTATAGGATAGATGTACGTAAGTAAGTGAAAACTGAATTATAAAATCCCATATAGTAAAAAGAGATCTATGTTTTGGCAGTCCGTTCTCTCAATTAAATAAATTTTAAAAACTAAAATGTCAATTATAGTATATTTTGATAATTTAAAATGAAACCTAAATTTAGTGTTCTTTTTTTCTATTTAAATTATAAAAATGAATAAACTGTTATAGGCCGTATACTTGTTTACTTTCTCTTCCATAAAAAACATGTTTGAATAATTGTGTAGTTAAGGATTTTTCATTGTATTTAATTATTTACGTTACATACTTAAGTTTTTGATCAAATTGATTGCTTTATTATTTAAAAATAAGATGTTACCGAAAATTCATAAATATTTGAAAAATGTATGGGTACCTAATTAATTTATTTTGCTATTTTATTAAATTTACGAATTCTATTAAACGCTCTCTATATTTTCTTGCAGGAAATATAAATTGTAAAAGAAGAATAAATTAAAGCGCACATTCATGATCGAATGGTGTCAAAAATCTGGTTGGAACACGACAACTACAAACAAATTGCATAATCTGTCACAAAAACAAAACCCTTTGAACACGTGATTTACGGCTTTCCTTCACACAACATGCACAGGTACGCACACATGTACAGTGATGAGCACACACAGAAATGTTAACGCACACACTCACCTATGGTCAAAGCGAATGGTCAGGCGCATGAGGAGCTCCCAGTTGTAACATTGATCGACACAATTCCGTGATCTCCGGATGATTTAGATTGATTAGATGCACGTACATCTGTTTATGGAGGCTCAGCTCCCCAGAGACAGCCTCAAGCCTTTTGAGTAACGCTTCCTTCTCTCTCAGCAACGTTTTCACTTTCTCCTCCACCTCCCTGGAGCGCACTTTAGCTTTCTCGCGCGATTTCCTCACGGCTATATTGTTGCGTTCCCTTCTTCTTCTGTATTCATCAGTTCCTTTGTCGATCACCTTTCCAGACGAACGTCTGGGTGGTGCTGGTTTGTGCTTCAAGAGTGGCGGTAGCAATGGCGCTCCCAAGGGCGGTAGAGGAGTGAAACCACCTCCATAAGGTCCACTGACTCCAACAGGTGGCTGCGGATTATACTGGCCTGTATACTGAGCGCACGACACAGATCTCCTAAAATCATGAGGTTCAGGGGGTTCCTCTTTAATTGGTGGCGCTTGTTCGTGTGAGTTTGTTTGAACTGGGGCTGCGTACGAGGCACCAGAATGGACAGGCTGGGGCATATACGCAAGGGTGGTTCTTGCGAATGGTCTATGTTGTGGTGAGCGTCCCCCGGGCAATATCTCCTGGAAGAGCGCCATAGTCTCCTCCCCTCGGAACTGGTCCTCGATGAGGTGTTGGAGGTCGAGACTGATTTCCTGTCCATTGAGCTCGTCGAGGTCCGGTGGCGGGAAGGGTGTTCTCTTGTCCTCGGTTACCTTTTTCAGGTCTGGTTGGGGCGGTGGTGGCGGTGCCCCGGCCGCGTCATACATCTGTGGGGACTCCATACCGCCCGGGCCGATGGCAGGCCCTGCGGCGCCGGCCCGGTTCTCCACTGCGCAACACTGACTGGACGTCACAAAGCACATGCACGACACTCGCGTGGCGCGTGCGAACGCGTCGGAGGTTGAACGCGGACTAACGCTGCGCGCGCGTCGAACAAGGTTGCCGGAAGGAAGCGCTGAAGTTGGCTGAAAGTTCACGCGGGCGCGAGTAAAAGTTTTTTCTTAAGGCCCGCACACACCGGTGCGTTAACTCCTCGAGTCGATTCATTGACCTATTAAACGTAATGACACATTCATTAGTAATTGGACTTTTGTGAGAATTTAATTTGTACAATGGATTATAATGATGTATTCAAATGGCTTATTTTTAAATTATTAATGAACTTAATTTGTAGTGATTATCGTATGATCATCGAATTATATATATTTGCCAGTAAGATAATTCATTATTTAATTTAATTAAAATTTTTGTCAAGTTATGGTTTTTTAAAAATATTTTTTTTTATTTATAATTTACAACAATTGGACCGACTTATAGTTATTTGTTGTGATGTCTTTAAGTACGCAGAGTGAATAAAATATTGTAAGTGTGTAAAATATAATAAGTAAGTGCAGCATTAAAAAGAAAATTATCTTACTTAATGTTTGTTTAGTATTATATTGATACACGTCAGATAGAGTGACAACCTAAGATAGGTAGGACATCAATGGATGAAGGTGACTAAGGACCGTGTTTTGTAGCAATTTCTTGGGGAGACCCATGTTCAGCTCTACTGCGCAATAGCGCAGATTCACTGTGAACGGTCAAAATGGTAATAGTGCTGATTGTGATGACACGCTTCAAAAGATTGCCTAAAGTGACAGTGAAAGCAACTATTGGTAAATTTGTTTAATTTATTATAACTACGAATACGATAAGTTTACATAAACAATTAGAAATTTTTTAAATTTTATAGAGATATTACGATCAAAAAAAATAATATTAAAATATACCTATTTTCACTTTGGACTCTATTATTTATTATATTTATTATACGTGGCAGAGCCTCTCACAAAGTGAGTGTAGATATCCGGAGATCCTTTTTACTCAGTAGTTTTAGTCCTTTTTACTAGTCCTCAGGCGTGACAAACCACCTGCGTTTTGATTCTTAATCGAGGATAAATGGAGATGTCTATGGGCCACAGCATCCATTTACCATCAAGTGGACTGTATGCCCGCTTGTCACCCTTATACTATAAAAATATTAATTAAATTTCATCGTAATTCGATTGGAATGGTCATAATTTTACGCCATGTAGTGACAGTGTAAGAATATCTTCCACCCCATATCATCCCGTGGGTTTCGTAAGAGGCGACAGAGGGAAACAAATCGGGAGATGAGCAGTAGCGTCTTCCTGATAACACCTAAAAATAAAAAACTGCAGTTATCAACCTTCTTGCCAAATTCAGAGACTATGGAAAATATGCCCCCTATGAAGCAATCTATGGGGGTGGCCTATATTCAGCAGTGGTATTTAATGGGCTGTAACGGTGATGGTCATAATTTTTATTCTTTTTTTTATAATTAAAAAATGATAAACGAACTAACACATCCACTGTGGTCTTGTAACTTTTTTATATAAAATCATTTTTTTTATAGAAGAAGAAGAGGGGAAAACGAGCATGGGGCTCACTTGATGTTAAGTGCCTACCACCGCCCATGATCAACCGCAACACCAGGGGAATTGCAGGTGCGTTGCCGGCCCTTTAGAAAGGAGTAAGCTCTTTCCTTTAAGGTCCCTAGGTCGTATCGGTCCGGAAAAATTGCTGGTGGTAAACTCTTCCACAGAGAGGTCGTACGCGGAAAAATACTCCCTGTGAAACGTACAGTTCATGTACGTTCAAATACGTAACCAGCTTATGAATACCTGCAATCTATGTACGTTAATACGTGGCAGAGCCACGCTACAGCTGTATTATGTTTGCAGCACGAATGCCGTCCGGGGAAGAACCATGCACTCATAGAACCTGCATGAAATAGGATTCTATTGCTGCTGTGTGAGTGTAAAAAACCGGAAACCCCTTTTATTACTAACAAGTCCAATTAAAATTTTCGAATAATTAAATAGATAAGAGAATGGTATCTACCTGGTAGGTACCATACTGTTATCGGCACTGTACAGGATTAAAGTGCCCAAGCGTGTGTACAAACACAGGGGCACTCTCTATTTCCTCAAGCCCATAGTCCGATGGAACGGTAAATCGACACGGTCGGAGAGAGATCAGGCGCAGGATCAAACTGATTTGCTTCTCATGCTTTCCGTACGGGTTTTTCGTTCCAGTCCGGGTCCGATCCGTCTTTTCATGCTTTCCGAGGCACGGGGGTGAGACACCGCCAACTTTCTAACTTATGCCTACTACTTTTAGTTGAAGAATTTAATAACAGAAAAACTCAATAACTAATTTTGGCCCGACCTTAGATTCGAAACCGGTGATGATCGTACATTGTGTTTACGACTACTAGACCAATGAGGTAATCACAGACTTACAGAACTTAAGCTTCGTTTTCAGAAGCTACAAGCTATTACTTGGTTATTAAATTACGTGATGATTATTTTCTTCTTTTAAGTGTTCGTAAAACAAATATTCCTACACAGTATGCAGCGTTGAAAGTTTTTTTTTTTATAGGAGAGGGGACAAACGTTTGGTGCCACGAACAACTGCAAGACCAGGGGATTGCAGATGTGTCGCCGGCCTTTTAAAAAGGAGTAGACTCTTTTCTTGGAGATCTCTAAGTCGTATCGGTCGTCGGTCGTCGATTCCACAAGGAAGTTGTATGAGGAAGAAAACTTCCGTTAAAGCTTTTTTTTATGATGATCAATGGTACATTTACCTCAACTAAGGATCAAAATGCAAATGCGTTATCACCAGTGAGGACTAATATGGATAGTCTCGATTCCAGTAAAATTGGTCTCCGGTTCTCTACACTCACAATACAAAACACAGCAGTATTACGCTGCTATTTTGAGCGTGGTCCTTCGCCGGTCGAGCCGATCCGTTCATGCTAAACCATAATATAGCTGGAGAGTGGCTCTACCACGTGTAGTTTAGTTTTAGTTTGTAGGTTCTTCTCCAGTTATTTCCACTGCTCAGTGTGACATTGTGATGGTATGTGTATAAGTCCAATGCAGAACGTAGGTCTTCATCATAGATTGTCTCATATGGCGATATTTGTCAATTAGGTGCGTTTGGCAGAAAAAAGCGCTAGCAAGCGCTTGTAAGCAAAATGGCGATCGTAAGCGGTAAGCGCTGTCAAACCGTAAGTAGCTATTTTCCTCCAGGAAACGATGTTAGTTTTAACCGGGGAACCTAACCTAATTTAAATATATGTTTGTAAAGTATTTATATTAAAAACTTACCAATCATGAATTTTTAATAGCATGTATATGTCTATTCATGTCATTATATTACTTAAAACCAATATTGCACAAAACAAATTATAAACTCTACTTCAAAACAAACAAATTAAATAAGCAAAATGGCGGATTGTGTGAGCTCTACTGAAGTAGCAATCGTGTCCTGGCCGAAAACTATTTCAGCGATTGTAAGCGCTTGCTAGCGCTTTTTTCTGCCAAACGCGCCCATTGTTGAAAAGATTGGGAGCCGCAGTTTTTTTATTTGTTATTAAGAAGACACTGCTGCCCTCCTTTAGGTTATTTTTTTATAGAAGAGGGGGCAAACGAGCACGCGTCTCACCTGATTGAATGCGACTACCGCTGCCCATAATTTTTTTTTAATAAAAAGAATATTAACAATGCTATATTATATAAGCATTACTAATATTCCCCTTTATCACTCGTGGTAAGCTTAAATTGCTTGTGTTACGTGTGGTTCACGCCAGTAGTCGAATGGCGGATTCGAACCCACGACCTTTTTGAGTTCGCGGTCCGCGCCCTGCCATTAGGCTACTGTCGCTTCGTAATTGCAGGTGCGTTGCCGGCCTTTTAGAAAGCAGTAAGCTCTTTTCTTGAAGGTCCCTAAGTCGTGTCGGTCCAGAAAAGTCACCGAAATTTTCCCTCTGTCGCCTCTTACGACACCAACGGCAGGATATAGGATAGTGGATCACCACAGTCACACAGTTACAGTTAAGTAAAATACATATATATGATTGAGTAAAATTTTACACGAGAATCTTAGAGAATCTTTTATTTTCAATTCGATAAAAAATCATTTTACACCCAAACATTAGCATATTAACAACAAATCGATAACACCTGATAACTCGCACGAAGAAAACCATATCGTCACGGACTATTCGTAATCGTTATCAAACTAATCGGTGGCGTATTACAAATAAATCGATATCAATTGATAGACGGTTCGATTGCAGACACAGAGACGTGATGTCGACTATTGAACGTGGTCAATCAACCCTAACAGTGATGAAAGGCCCATGGGGAAATCACAAAAGTACTGAAAAGTAATTTACAATATAAATAGAATATCGTAGAAAGCAGAAACATATTAAAGAGAAAAATATCTAAACCTTAGGCACATGCATATCCCCTGAGCTACCACAACTCTAATTGTTAGTTATTATATTCTTAGCCAACTTTAAAATAGAATGAAATTCACAATTCGACTGTCCATTTTTTGTATGTTTTTTTTTTTAGAATAGAGTGACAAACGAGCACACAGTCCACCTGATGGTAAGTGGTTGCTGCGGCCCATAGACATCTACATCTATCTTCCATTACAAATCAAAATGCAGATGCGTTGCCACCCGTGAGGACTGAGATGGAATGCCTCATTTCCAGTAAAAAGGGTCTCCGGTTCTCTACACTCACCATACGAAACACAGCAGCATCAAGCTACTATTTCACGCTGGTATTCTGTGAGAGCGTGGTCCTTCCCCGGTCGAGCCGACCCATTCGTGCTACAACTATACTACTAATATAATTGCAGCATGGCTCTACCACGTAAATGTACGTATGTTACAGGATATCTTCGCCAATTAAAACAT